CGAAGAAGTGGGCTTGTAGCCCACGAAAGCTTATGCTCTAATAAATTTGTTAGTCTCTAAGGTGCCACAAGTAAACTTGTTTTAGTTTATTCCAAAACCCAGCTTGTGCAATTCATAAGGGAATTGTGCATATCTTCCTCCACATTGAGGGAGGAGATGAATTGATGAGCTTACATTGTATAGATTTCTCTATAGCGCAAGACAATATTGTTTTGGGTGTACTTTCCAGAGGGGAAGTGCACTTGAGTGCGGGGCAATTTCCTAGCTGAGTCTTCCCATAGAGAGCTGTTTGCAGACTGTGATATTCTACAGATGGTGCGTCCCTACCTGTGTGTATGCTGCCAGAGACCAGAGAGCCTAATTCAGCAAAGCAGAGAGAGGGAGCCCAGGCTAGTGGAGCAGGCAGGCTCAGTGAAATCCCAGTACATCAGGTGGCATCCCAGATGGGGGGGTCCAACCTGCCACATGTATTATTACATGGGGCTTTCTAGGGCATTAGTGCAGAAGTCTCTGTTCTCCCCTTGTGCCTGTGTTGAGAGAGGGACGTTCAAGGACAGTGAAAGGTGACACATTCAAAGCCAATAAAAGGAACTAGTTTTTCAATTAACACATAATTAGACTGTGGAACTCACTCCCACAGGATGTTATTGAGGCCAAGAAGCGAGTAAGAGTCGAAGAGGGATGGGAGACATTTATATGGAGAACAAAGATATTCAGAGTTATAACAATTAATGCAAACAGAATTTTGGATAAATACCTCACTCTTTAGGGCTTAAACCAATCTTGGACTATTAGTGATGAAAATGAGGCCTTCTTTGATAGCTGGTTATCCCACACCTGCCTAGAGAAGGGTTCTTCCCCCTTTCAGAGGTATCTGGTGCTGGCCACTATCGCAGATGTGATACTGGACCAGACGGGCCTGGGTCTGATCCAGTCTGGCAATCCCCATGTTCCTAGGGATGGTTTTCTATCTGATCTGGGTGGGAAGGCTGTCAGTGATATCTGTTCCTTCTGCCAAAGCAGGGTGGCGCTCCATGAGACTCACTCTCTGCTATAGATTTCAGCCTTTGCCAGCATTAAGCCGGGAGAGCTGTAACAATACTGCTCTGGCCTTGCCTACAAAGGGGGAAAACAAAGGGATTCCCTCGGGACTCACAGCGTTTCTTCTGGGGCGGGCGTCCTCCACTTCCTCATAGATGGTGAGGGACGGGTCACCGTCTTTGGAGGAGCCTTTGAAGAGACAGAACAAAGCGACTTGTGCAAGAGACCCCATCGCATCCCAGTCTCACAGGGTGAAAGTTACCCCAGGCAAAGCTCTCTGCTCAGCGTTGCACAGGGTGTGGGCACCTTGCCACTAACATATCACCCACAGCCCTGATGTTTCCCAGAGCCACCCACCCTGGTCCCAGTGATCTTAGCATTTCCTCTAAGTCTCTTTGCCTCCTACAGTAAATCAGGACAAGCATTTAAAAATCTATAGACACGAGGCAGTTTCAGGGGGTTACTATGGGTTTACAGGGCCAATTTCTCATGTCTTAGTCATAGATTTTCAGTCCAGAAGGGAGTCAGAGGACCAGTGTGACCATCTAGCCTGACCTCCAGTGTAACAGGTGTCAGCAGGGAGGACTGACAGTGTATAGACAGCTCTCCGCCATCCGTATGTGGCCCTCATGTTAACCTGCTTTCATGACCTGAAGGTGACGTTCCTCTACCGGATGAGCTTCCTTTTAACCACTTACGTTGCTTCTTCCGATGCTTGCAGAGGAAGATGAGGGTGAGCACCGTGAGCAGAAGCAGCAGCCCCAGCCCTGCAGCAACAATTGCCCAGAGTGGGACTTTCTGAAAAAAGTCTGGAAGAGGGAAAGGTGAAAAGCCGAGCTCTCGTTACACTGCAGAATGCCAGAGCCTTTCCTAACCCTTATTCTGCACCCTACTTTATAGCATGTTTATGATGGGTTAGTTAATGGGCAGTAGATGCTCTGGTAAATGATAGATCAATTGTCACAGAGCCCAACAGACTGATGAGAAATATTGCCAACCGCTGGTATTCAATAAAATCATGAGTTTGGGTTACAAAATCCAGGTTTTTGTTTTTCTTTTATTTGCCCTCTGGTTTCCAATCCTTTAGAGTTCACTTGGGTCACATTTTCAGGTTTGTTTCCCAAACCTATTGATGGCTAGAAACTTACTTTTAAAAAAGAGAAAGAAAGCGGAGGGTCTCACCTTGTTGTTTGATTCCAGGAGTTGGGGCTGTAATGAAAATACTTAAGGTCATAAGACTTGCAACAACAAAAATCACAAGAGCTTGCAACACTAGCCTATGGCATGTAACCATCTGTACTGTAATACCATTCTACAGATGTGCTCATACACATACTACTCAGATCCTTAGCATGCTACTGGCCAAGTGCAGCAGCAAGGCTGTCCAAGCTAATCACCGGGACCCAATTCAGAGACTTTTAGCGAAAAAACAAAACAAAACAAAAAGCACCAAAATTTTAAAATAAAAAACCAACAAAATAGACTTTTTGACATCAGTCTGTTTACTCACCCAAAATATTCCCTACTATGTCTTACACGGGACCAGGTTCCTCCAGGTAAGGTGACGTTTCCTCATCAGCCCTGCAACTCTCACTCTCTTGCTCAGAGGGAGTCAGGAGTTTTATAAAGGGTTTTCCTACCCAGAATCCATTGCAGAGAAAGGAAGTCCCTCTCCTGTTTCTCTGGATGATTGCCAGTTTGGCTGGCCAATCAGCTCTCTTTCCCTCACTTCTAGTTCTATAGGCACATCACCCACTACAATACTTGCAACTAGAGTGGGTCACAAATGTTTTATTGAAAAAGTTTGACAAAAAATGGCATTTTCATTGACATATTTTGAAAAAATATATAGATTTCAGTGAAATTTTATCAAATTGCTTCATTTTTCCTTTCCTGTAAAAACGTGCCATTTTCAGAATGAAATGTTTTGCTTTTCATTCTGAAACAAATTTCTGCTATTTTTAAATTTTGTTCCTAGTTGAAAAGGTCAAATAGGAACACAATGTTCTCATCTGATTGAAATGAAATTCTTTGATTGAAAAAAATGCAACTTTTTAAATTTTAATTTCATTTGGGAGGGAAATTTCAATTTTGTTTTGTTTTGTTCCACGGGGACTTTGTAGGTGCTACCGCAATCATAATTATAGCAAAGAAACACTTCCTGAAGAGCTTATAATCAAGAGGGATAATGGCAGGTCTGGCACCACTGGTTTTCCTGAGGTCTCCCATCCTACTACTGAACCAGCTCAACCCTCCTATAGCAGGGACTGGGAGCACTGACATCTGAAATTGCAGATGTATCCCTACCTATCTTTTTACTGGGATGAGCTATTTGAATCCTAGAATCCCAGCAATGTTGGGCTGGAAGTCATCTCGAGAGGTTAGAAAGTCCAGCCCCCTGCACTGAGGCAGGACCAAATAAACCCAGACCAGCCCTGACAGGGCTTTGTCCAGCCTGTTCTGAAAAACCTCTAGTGATGAGGATTCCACAATCTCCCTAGGAAACCTGCTCCAGAGCTCAACAACCTTTAGAGCTAGAAAGTTTCTCCTAACAACTAGCCTAAATCTCCCTTTCTGCAGATTAAGCCCATAGCTTCTTGTCCTACCATCAGTGGACACAACGCTCTTTATAACAGCCCTTCACATATTTAAAGACTGCTGTCAGGTCCCCCTCCCCCTACAATCTTTTCTCAAGAGTAGACATGCCCAGTGTTTTTAACCTTTTCTCACAGGTCCGGCTTTCTGGACCTTTTGTCATTTTAGTTGCTCTCCTCTGAACTCTCTGCAGTTTGTCCACATCTTTCCTAAAGTGCGGCACCCAGAACTGGACACAGGACTCCAGCTGAGGCTTCGCCTGCGCTCAGTAGAGCAGGACAACTACCTCTCATGTGTTACATACGACACTCCTGTTAATACACCTCAGAATGATATTAGCCTTTTTGGTAACTGCATCACATTGTTGACTCATATTCAATTTGTGATCCACTGTAACCCCCAGACCTTTTCAGCAGTATTACTCCCTAGCCACTAGCCAGTGATTTTACTTGCAAACATGTGTAGACCACGTGCCCCCTGCACTGGGAGCAGAAGGTAGTGTGAGGTTTGTGGTGGTTCTTAAATCCCGCAGGAGGAACTTCCATGGTCTTGGACCAGCCCCAAAAACCTGTTGCCTTCTCAGACGAACTTTACCTTGTTCTAAACTGTTTCGCTCTAAGGGCCCTCTGTGCTGGGGTTTGGGAGCTGGATTTACACAGGCTCCTTTGAAAATCCCAATTCTGGCTAAAGGGCTGGACAAAAATTTTCCTTGACACATTTTTGGACTGAGAATTGTTTTTCTGCCCCGGGTGACGTTGGCCAAGTCACGTCACCACTCTGTGCCTCGGTTTCCCCATTCGTCAGATGAGGGTGATGATACTGACCTTTTTTGTAAAGTGCTTGGAGATTTCCAGCTGACACATGCTATATTCGAGTTATTAGTCAAAGAGCATAGGCGGCAGGTTTGTATAATTTTTGGTGGTGCCCAAAATGGTGGTGCCCCCCCCCGCTTCCCCCTGTAAGCCGATATATATATTTTATTAAATAGTGTAAACATGGACTGGAAGCCATAAGCATTTAAGTTTCTCTTTATTGCACAATATCACTATCAGAAAAATCCATTGTTGATCATTAGTGGTCCTACAAATCAAGAATTTGTTGCTGGGATAAAATGAAGCTACAACGCATCGGCGCCACAAGATTACAAGGGTCAATTAAAAGTGGAAAGTCAGAAGCAGCACTTGCCTGCTTCAATATACAGTATTATATTTTGTTGCACCTGTTGTGACGAAGTGGGAAGGTTCTTAATGTTTTCTCTATGAATACTGTCTGGGTGCCTCAGTTTCCCCTGCAAGGTGCCAACTGAAGGTGTTGGGGACAAAGAGATCAGGTGGCCTCCTTGTCCGGAAGAGACACAAAGGCCAGAGGAGGGAGTGTCAGTTTGGAGCTGGCTTGGGAAATGGGGAGAGGCCCAGAACTTGGGTCTGGGCTCCTCACCCCCCAAGATGGACCTGACTGAGGGGTCCTGTTTTCTATACCTACAAGCTCTGTTTTAGACTGTGTTCCTGTCGTCTAATAAACCTTCTGTTTTCCCGGCTGGCTGAGAGTCACGTCTGACTGCGGAGTTGGGGTGCAGGGACCTCTGGCTGCCCCAGGACCCCGCCTGGGCGGACTCACTGCGGAAAGCGCACGGTGTGGAAGGGCGTGCTGAATGCTCCGAGGTGAGACCCAGGAAGGTGTAAGCTTCTTGCCCTGGAGACAGTCTGCTCAGAGAGAGGAGGCTCCCCCAGAGTCTGACTCCTGACTGGCTTTGAAGGAGTGGTTCCAGAGCATCCCAGCATCCCCTTCCACACCATGCGCTTCCCGGAAGTCCGCCCAGGCACTAACATTCCCTCCTCTGGCCTTTGTCTCTTTTCCAGGCATTAGGAGGCCACCTGATCTCTTTGTTCTCCAATACCTTCAGTTGGCACCTTGCAGGAGCGCGGCCCAGGCCATCAGTTGCCTGGAGACAGGGTTTCGGCCATTCTCTGTGCAGACAGCATCACACTGGCCCTCTTGGGCTCTACAACAATCACACCCCCTTATCCCACCATCTAGATCCTTAAGAAATGCATAGGGAAACTGAGGCACCCACACAGTGTTCAGAGAAAACATTAAGAACATTCCCACTTCGTAACACCTCCCCAGGGCTACGGCCAGAGAGGACTCACCCCCCACTAGCAGCAGCAAGCTCCAGGGGAGGGACCCCTCCTCTTCCCCCGCAGCACACTCACTCTGCACCACGGTCACTGCACAGGCTCCTAGGGCCTCTCTCAGGTCCAGAAAGCCCAATCGCCTCCCCTATGGTGGGTACCGGGGGGGGGGGGGTTGCCATCACGTGTGGCCTCCCCTGCTGCTGCCCCTCACCATAGCCTCACTGGGGATGGGGCTGCCCCTTGCCCAGCGTGGGGCAGGAGTGGGGACTGCAGGGTGGTGGATGTGGGGAGGGCAGGGTGTCACAAAATTCACCCAAGCCCCAGCTGCTCAGGTCTAGGAAGCCCCCCTCCCCAGTGGTGTAGCCAGGTTCTAACATCAGGGGGAGTGAATATATTAAAAAAGGTGCCCCCGACATATCAAATTACTAATCAGGTAGTAGGGTTTACAATGTTCTAACAAGAGATTATGCTATTACTATTATCCAGTCAACTTGCACACTACTCTTTTGAATTAGTGATAATTCACAGAGAGAGAAAGAAGAAAGCTGAATTTAGAGAACAATTATTAACCAGATTCCTGGTTATTCACCAGCCACTTTACTCCAGTCCATAGCACAAAGCACCATAAACCCAGTAGAAACACCTCCAATTGGCATCTGCTACACTCCCTCCCCCATGCCCCCCATTCCCAGTCACCACTATTCAGGAGATAGCGAAGTGAAAAGCTGGCATGGCTGAAGCATTGAGCAAGCAATTGAAAACTAGTCTAAAGTCTGTATAGTCCCTGAGAACACTGCTTCATTCTGAGCACTGGGGCTGCAGCTAGTCAGCAGTGAGACGCAGGAGACAGAACTGGCACCTTACCCCTCCTTCCTTCACAAGCTGCACTAAGCACAGTTTCACAGCCTGGGGCGCAGCACTGGGGTGTGTGTGTAAGTATGGGGGGGCAATAACCCAAAGTCGTTCCTTTGCCTCCTGCTCCTGCCGCTCCCTCAGCCCCCTCCGCTGAAGAGAGACCAGGAGAAAAAAACATCCCCCCCCCATTTTCCTTCCTTCTCCACCGGCACCAGCTGGGCTTCAGAGCCCCCTTCCCTGCCGCGCGGCTGCCGCGCTCTGCATGGGGCTGCCGGGGACCGGGGGCTGCTGCTCCTCAGCCCCCCCCCCCGCTGCGCAGCCACCCCTTCCCCTCCCGGCAGAGCCCACCCTGGCTTAGGGAGCCTCCTCCTCCTCATCCCCAGGGAGCCGGGCAACCAGCCGACGCTGCCTGCAGCCCGGGACCTACCGAGCAGGGCTGGGGATGCAGGGGGGCGGTGCGGAGCCCAGAGCCAGAAAACCCAGCTCCAGACTCCGAGTCCGGAGCCCAGTGCTGGCTGCCTGGGAACTGGCAAGGCGCCGCTTTTGGAAAATGTGCGCAGAGGGGAGCGGCCACTCCCCCCCAGCTACGCTACTGGGTGGGGGGGACGCTCCGGGGCGGGGGGGTGGGGTGGCGGCAGGGGCCGGTGCCCACTCCAGGCAGGTCCAGGGGAG